ACTTGCCAATAGACTGGTAAATAGTCTGGCGACAGGGCGCGTTAGAGGAGGAATAGAATGAGGAGGAGGAGGAGGAGAGGGAGAGAGAAGAGAAGAGAAGAAGGGAGAGGGGAGGAGGAGAAGGAGAAGGAGAGGGAAAGAGAAGAGAAGAGGGGAAGGGGAGGGGAGGCGAGGTCTATGGACGCGTGGCGGCCGCCCCAGCCACCGCACTTTCCGTTGCCTAAACGACCCCACTGTGCTCTACTATAAACGCGAAAAAAGGCAAATCTCGCTCAGCTGGTAACCGCACAGCCTCGCTTTGCGGTAGACTGGCAAGACCAGCGCGCCAAATCTCCCTCTTTCTAGCCTCTTGCAACATTTCAAACAGCATAGGCCTATCCACCAGAGCCTATAATTAGATGCCGCAAAGAACCATATAGGATCTCCTCATTTGTATTTTTTAGTATTTTTGTTTATCCATGTATTTAAAAAAACGATTTATTCCACTGCGATCAAGAAATCCCCCCCCCCCCCCCCGTGTGTCGCGTCGCAGCTTGGCGAGGGTTCAACCAGTACGTTGTTTCTGGTCAATATTTTGTTTAACCTCCGCTACACACACAGTATACGTCGCCCATTTTCGTTGTCGCTTGCGGGGGGGGGGGGGGTAGTTGTGTAGTCTGGTATTGTGGTTATTGGGCTATCTGGTATTGTGGTAGCTGGTATGAGGAGCTACCCTGGTTTTATGTGAGGAATTCAGATATGTTGCTTGGTATGTGGTATGAGCGGTTCTTTGGCATTGTTGGAGCGGGGAGTCAGGAGGGGGCGTTGGGGGGGGGGGGTAATGCGTGTTGTCTGGTATTGTTTTGGTGTGTGGTATTAGGTAATGAGGAGGTATGAGAATGTTCCCGGTGTTGGCGATGAGGTGGTGTACCGGTGTGGCAAGTGTGGCGGGTGACGGGTGGTGCTGTTGGTGTAAGCCTGGCTGTCGTCTCCGTGGCACGGCCCCTCTCTCTCTCTCTCTCTCTCTCTCTCTCTCTCTCTCTCTCTCTCTCTCTCTCTCTCTCTCTCTCTCTCTCTCTCTCTCTCTCTCTGTCTCTCTCTCTCTCTCTCTCTCTCTCTCTCTCTCTGTCTCTCTCTCTCTCTCTCTCTCTCTCTCTCTCTCTCTCTCTCTCTCTCTCTCTCTCTCTCTCTGTCTGTCTCTCTCTCTCTCTCCATCTCTCTCTCTCTCTCTCTCTCTCTCTCTCTCTCTCTCTCTCTCTCTCTCTCTCTCTCTCTCTCTCTCTCTCTCTCTCTCTCTCTCTCTCTCTCTCTCTGTCTCTCTCTGTCTCTCTCTCGCTCTCTCGCTCTATCTCTTTCCGTTTCTTCCCCTTTCTATCATTTTATCATTGATTACTGTTCTTTCTATCCATTTCCCAAGTTTATTTTCTTTTTTCTTTTGCTTTGTTAAAAATTGGGAGATTTACCCTCCCTATTCACATTTTTCCCCTACTTGCTTTTGGCAGCCAAGCAAAAAAAAAAAAAAATGTAAATGAAATTATATCAATAAAAAAATGTAAATAAAAGTGCCTAGTAACATGCTGCAGGTCGACTGGCTCCCGAGCTGGCGTATCGACCTCGATCTCCACCCGTTCTGTGACTTGAATACAGTTTGTCGAGGAGGATCAGAGGTCGAGCGGGGTGGGGGGGGGGGGTGAAGGTATAGGAGGGGCAAGGAGGGGGGGTGGGGTTAACGGGCAGGTGAGACGCGGATTCTGAGGGAAACTTGCCAAGGAATCGCGTGAAAGTTGACAGGCTTTTGAAGTCCTCCTTGCAAGCACATCGTCAGCCGGCGAGTTCTTGAAAGAGGAAGGTTTTTTTTTTTTTTTTTTTTTTTTGGGGGGGGGAAGGATTGGTGTGTTTTTGTTTGGATTTGTTGTTTCTTGCTGTTTTGCTGTAAGGTTTGGTTCTTGCGTCATTTGTTAGCGAAAGGGAATCTGGATTTAGATTAAGGCGTTCGTTACGATGATGATAATCGCGGTACAAGGTCGGAAAAGAATCAGATCGTGATGTGTCAATAAAAGTTCGCAAGATTCGAAGGAGTCGAGTGATGGCAAGGCATAATCATAGGAGCCTTGCAGTGTTGAAATTCGTAAAATCGTAAGATCATATAATTCGTTTAATTATAATGATTGGAAGATAAAATCGCAAGATATTTACCAGTCGCAAGCCACGAGGGCGGCGACAGCTCGGGGAGGAAAGGGTCGTCATCGACAGGAACTTTTTCAAGGGTCAGCGAGCGTGGGCGAAGGTCCGCTGGCGTGGGCGGGGAGTGTGGGCGTGGGAGGGGCTGGACGCGATGATTGCCTACCTGGGGAATGCGACACACACGGACGCACGCACGCACATGCTAGCTAGCAAGTGCTTGTGCACACACTCGCACAACACAAGACTTCCTCGCTTATTTTATTCGCACACTCTTCGCTGATAGGCACACAGACTTCAAGCACTTGCTTTCTCCCTTCTACCTTTCCCCTCTCCCCCCTTCCGCTCCCCTTCCTCTCCAATTCCCCTACACATGCCCACAGAGAGCTAAGGGCGTCAGTCACGAGAGTCCGCCGCCGTATGCCAGCCACTCCTTTTTCCACAGATTCGCGTGACAGCGATGACGTCGACGTAGCCCCGTGTGTTTTAATATCATTTCTTTATTCTTTTTTTTCTAATCTTCCCTTTAAGACGGAGGGAGACATGCTACCTCTCCCGCCCCCCTCCCTCTCCCTCTCCCTCTCCCCGCTCATCGTTCCCCCTCCCCCTTTTCCCCCTCCCTCTCCCCCCTCCCTCTCCCCCCTCCCTCTCCCCGCACCTTCTCGCTCGCTTGTAATTTCTGTTAAGACTCGTGATCTGGGCGGACTTGCATATATGTAGGGAAGGAGATGCGTTTTATTGCAACACTTCACCAAGCAACATGGATTTAGCAAAAGTTTCTTGCGGGACCGTAGATCGAAGGCGGCCGTGTTGCACAGTGTCATGCAAGCGCTCTCATGCCGCGTGAGATGACGCCTGCTTATTTCATGGTACCTGAAATGAACCCGGGTTTTAGTTTTTTCCCCTTTTTCTTTTTCATTTTTTTTTTCATATATTTTTTAAATATTCTTTCTTTCTGTAGTAAAATGGGCTGTTTTCAATCTCGTATGTTTCTGTGCTTTCGTCTGTTTATAACGTCTTCTTCTGTGCTTTTGCGGCGAGAAATAGGAAAGGAATGGTTGGTTCCTTCGGTGCTTGCTTGAAGAACAGGGCGGCGTCTCAGGAGGAGGAGGAACGAGGCGGGAAATCCTGGCGTGTCCGGGCGGCGGGCGGGCGGTAGGGAATGGCCTCAGGGTATCCGCAAGCAATGTCATTCGCGACAGAGAGGCAGCACGGGGCCTTTTCTGCTGATCAGCGATTTTCTTTTTACTTCTTGAAATCGGCTTATCCGCGCGCAGTTCTGTTTCCCTCCCTTGGGAAAATTTGCGTCGTCATTGTCTCTCTCCTTCCCGCTTCTCCTCCCCCTTCCATCGCATGGAGGGAGAGAGAGAAAGGGTGGATAAAGACTGAGGCGAGGAGGAGGAGGAGGAGGAGGAGGAGGACGACAAGAAGGAGAATGTAGGAGGAGGAAGAGAACGAAGAAGTGGAGAGAGAGAAGGAAGGAGGAAAAGGAGGAGGAGGAGGACAAGAAGGAGAATGTAGGAGGAGGACGAGGAGGAAGAGGTGGAGACAGAGAAGGAAGGAGGAGGAGGAAGAGGACGAAGAGGTGGAGACAGAGAAGGAAGGAGGAGGAGAAGGAGGAGGACAAGGAGAATGTAGGAGGAAGAAGAGGACGAAGAGGTGGAGACAGAGAATGAAGGAGGAGGAGGAGGAAGAGGTGGAGTCAGAGGAGGAGGAGGAGGAGGCGGCGAGGTGGAGCGGGAGCCCAGGTTCTCGGGGTGGCAGATCAAAGCTTTAGTCAGCGGTGGAGCGCTCAGGGTGGCGGGTGTGCGAACGCGGAGCTCCCTCACACACCTCTCGGCCGCACGCACTCTGGCCCAGCCCGACTCTCTCGACCGGATAGCGGAGAGAGAACGAAGGAGAGCAAGAGAGAAAGAAAGAGAAAAGAGGACTTTGAGGACTCTCCTATTCTAATGTTGCGAGTTGTTCATGTTGTTTGTTTACATACGAAAGGCATCGCGTGAACGTTTGAACCTCTTTCGCTGCCGATAGAACGTTTGTGCCTGTTTGTTAGTTTGTTTGTGTGTGTGTGTGGATATTATGGCCGCGAACTTGGGTCTGTGGAGCGTCCTTCGAGCAGACTGCAGTGGCCGGAGCGGCAACCTACCCTTTGGCATGTGTGTGGCCACGGCCTGCACCGGTTCGATCCCGGCCTCCACCTCCAGTAGCCCGGCGGAAGACTGCTTCGCCTTCTCCTTGTGATTCTGCAGCGATTGTGTGTGGATTCGGGGGTGATTGTGCGCCCGGATTCGGCTCGGCGGTGACCCATGGCCGCAGCTCTAGCCCGGACGACTGGCGAATTAACCCGAGAGGACTAGCGGGAGGTTCCGGTCGTCCTCGAGTGGGGATGGGACGAGAGGAAGGGGGTCTGATCCTCCAAGTGCTCCCGGAGACCTAAAGGATCGACCGCTTTGTGTACAAGTAACGGAGAGAAAGCATTGCGGGAATAGATTCGAGGTCGATTAGCCCAGCAGTGAAGAGCGCCCCGTGTCGATCGGCTGCCCTCGGGACTGAGGCGGACCGCGCGGAAACAGCGAAAAATCCCGACTGAACGAAGAATGTTGAGGGTGGCGCGCTAAGGGGCGTCCGAGGATGGGTCTTCGTTAAGGGAGTGGACTGTGGACACCCCCCCCCCGTTCCCCCTGACCCCCACCCCCCTCCTCGCCCTTTGAGACGAGACACCGGCCAGTGCTGCGGCGAGGTGCTAGGAAGCTCCTGTGGCTCCGACCCAGCGTTTCTTGTGCCTTACTTGAGCCACCGTTCCGCCCGCCCGCGCCCTCGCCAGCACGCCTTACTCCCGC